TATAATCATGGGTAAAAAACAATACTGTCTGGAAAATGTTTTTAATAAAAGGCAGAAGGTTTAGTTTTGAATTCCAATTATCACCACAATCCCCTTATGTCATTCTGAGCCACAGTGAAAGAATAAAAGCATTGTCAGGAATTCTGTTTAATTAAAACATATTCATTCAATTATAATAAAGATAAAATATTTATGATGTCGTTATTTCATGGAATTCATTCTTCCTCCATTTATTAAAAGACATCAAAACATTTTTAAAAGCTTTTAAAACTCGGAGGACACTCAGCCGAGCACAAACCTCTGTGAAGGCCCATCAAGATCCGTGAATTATTGTGATCAGTGAAAAGCAAATAAAAAGAAATAAACCATCACAACATGTGCCCCTGACCTGAATCTGAACCAAATCTGAACGGGTTCTTTCTTGAACCATAGTGATGGCTCCCAACAAGTTTCACGTTTCTCCATCTGATGGTTTTCGTGTGATCTTGCTCACAAAATAAAAAAACTAAAGGACAGGGGTGAAAACATAAACCTGCTTGATCGGGGGGAACCAGGGTGGACGCAATAAAATGATTTCCACTGATCTATAGAAATATCTCTTGCATGTTTATTAATATATATTATTTCGTCCCTGTCAGGATCCTGTAGGAACGATGACTCTGGTTTTTTTGCAGCGATCTTATTGGTCAGTAGTTTTGATTTCGTTCTGTGAAACCCTGGTCACCACGAACAGAATCTCCGAAGGGTGTGAAAATGAATTTTGCTAAAACACAAGTCCTGTAAACCTGCAGCTCTTTCGCACAACGAACAAGAATCCTGATTCACACGATTGTGTTATAATCCATCTGAGCTTTAATTCCACAGGGACGTCTTCTCCGATCCGCTCAGTACGAAGCTGCTTCAGGCGCTTCAAACTGACAACATCGCAAAAAAAAACGTCCCAGATCTGCAACACACGACTTTGCTACGGAGCCCTGCACATTGACAAATATTGAACAGGATCTCAGACTGTGATTGTAACACAGAGGCTGTTGAACTAAATGCTGTTTCATTTCAAACTATTTTAGGATGAGTAAGCGCTGAGAGCCAGGGGCACGTACGCTCGTATGAAGTGGACGGCTGGAGATTATGAAGCATGATTACACAGCTGTGACATTCACGCTAATAAAAAGAGATTAAAATAAAACTCACCACATATTCTGGAGCCCAAGAGAGTGGAGCATCTGCTATTTGGTTCATCTATGATTAGACTGACTCACCCTTAATGACAAATTGCAGATGAAATATCAATTTTTGGTGCCTGCGTCTGACTGTTATTTAACCAGAGGGATCATCGAGCCGTTTAAGGATAACATCTGAGGTTCTGTTCAGCCACTTTTCTCGCTTTACTTTTTGTCTGTTATCCATTGATTCTTGTCCAGCATGAAAAACGATCTATTTCCTCATATTATTGCTCAAAACAAAGTACAAAGCACGGAGTCCCGGCTCCTCTGTTTTATTCTTAAATGCAAATGAATGAGCGTATCGTAAAACGACACTTGTGGTTCGCCTGTGGACACGTATGACCACATGTGGTGCCGTTTGATGAACAGGCCCACACACTGTTTGTATCTCTTATCACGTGGACGAGGACACATATGTCCAGCACAAGCTCTGGGATAACTGTGACAAACATTTGCTCTGACTGCAGAAGGGACTGTAAATGTGTACTGGATGGTAATACTGCGTTTGTGCATCAAATGATATTTAGGGCAGCTGAAGTTTAATCACAGAACTTGCACCTTAGACTGGACGTGTTGGATTTCATACCACGATGTGCCAGTGAAGAATAAGAAGAACATATTGTCCATCTCAATATATTTTAACAGGCTCTTACATTGTAGAAATTGATTTAACGTGACTGTGTAAGATCTTTTCTAAATAAGGAACAATCAAAGTTAAAGTTTGGACAGACAGACATCCTGAAACAACATCCACCTCCACACAACTCGACTCTCTACACATGCTACGAAGGAGCAGCTGGCTGGAAGCACAGACCCGGGTCACGCAGGCCCAGGTGGCAGTGCTGTAAAGTGACAGTGTGATTTAAGTCCTGTGTCATCGCACGCTCTGTTATCTACCGCCGCTAACGGGGCCGCGCCGATTTCGTCCGACAGCCAACAACTGCAGCTCAGGAGGTAGAGCTGATAACGGAGAGGTCCGGCCCGCGCAACTTCCAGCCGCGGTGTGCAATTACACGGGTTTAAGCGACTGTCAGACACATCTACATCTCGGGCTCCAGTCACAGTTTCATTGTCTTGGTTTTGTTATTGATCCAACTAGTTTCTGTTTACGTCAGATCACTGAAGGGGGACTGATGGAGAGAGAGAGAGAGAGAGAGAGAGAGAGAGAGAGAGAGGCCTGTGGCTGGGTTTGAATCCAGGACACCACAGGGACGTTTCACCTCGGACCCTGCTTAGATCTGGTATTAACATCTGTCTCGATTGAGCTGATCACGAGCGGTCGGCTCTAAATTCAGGTCCTCGGATCTGTTAACACTTTTGCAGGTGTTGGTCTGGTTTGCATGCGTGAACGCTAATCTGTCCTGGGACTCATATGAAGGACCACAGACTCAGCTGGTGTCCTCTGTCCTCTGAATTAAACTTGTAGCAGAAAATTAAAACAATTTTACGCCCCTCAGTGTCCGTAATTCGATTTGTCTGATCTCTCTCTCTCTCTCTCTCTCTCTCTCTCTCTCTATGTCTCTTCATCAGGCATCAAAATAAAACTTTCCTCTTTATTTGAAAATGCAGATTTTCCTTCACTCTCCTGTTTTACTGGAATGATTCTCAGTCTACTGGGTTTTAAATGACTGGATGTAACAAAGCGTTATTTCTTTACTTCACTGTATCTCCTGAAAAAAACTCCTCCTTGTTATTTAGCGGACCTGCTTGGTTTGACATTACACAAACACATTTTTTTTTTTTTGTTGTTGCAGATAACATGAAAGAAACCAATGCACGTTACTGTTTTTTATTTTCTTTAAGAACTGATCTTATCATTTTCCCCAGGGTCGTCGGTTACACTGACTTCAGACCAACACTTCACAAAGAGAAACCATGTTTTCCCCCCAAAGACTTGTAGCACTTGTTTGTGTGATTTCTGAGCTGTTTTTCATTAACGCCATCCATTTTAATTTTCTCCCCGCTTCATGATTTCCTTTAAGGGATGTGTTATTCAACAGCAGTAATTGACTCTGTCCCAATTCCATAATACAAAGCAATTTTAAGCCGATGTTGATATTGTTTATGCGCTGAAATAGTGAAGAAGGAGATTGTGTGCACTAAAAGAGTCAGTTATTTTTATTTTGACTTGCTCTTAGCCTCTCGTTGACCTTTCGATCTTTTCGGTAGCTTCATTTAGATCATCACAACCACTCCTCTACCTAAAGATGGAATTTCTTGAAAATAAAATACGGGGATTTCTCCGGGTTTCAACATTGTTGGAAACATTCTGGACAATCTGAGTCAAGAAAATAAATAACATAGGTCTAGTTGCTTTTAGACATTTTAAAAAGAAATTGTCACGAATTATAACTTTTAAGTTTCTGCCCAGAAATGACTGACAGACACTTTAACATTTGGTTTTCAAAGTACTGGCTGATGATGATTAGCCCACGCACGTCACACACAGACAAACAGCAGCTCAAACACGACTTATGAGCTGCTGCAGTCAGTGTTTTAAAAGACTTTTAGACATTAATAAATGTATTTTCCATGGTTTAATGGCTTTGGGGAACAAACAGTTTATTTTTAGATGTTTGAGTGTCACATGGCTGTGGACTAATACTTTGCACAGCGACTTTGTGAGTGTGAAAGCTCAACATCATGCTAACTCTGCTTTTCTTCCTCCTGATTACATTCAAATATACTGTGTTACTGCTGCAACAATGTTTTGAACAAACACACAGAATTACAGACAGACGGAGACGTACAGACAATCCTCTCAGAGCTCATCACATATTCATCAGGTTCATTGTTGCAGCCTGAGTTTCGACTCTGTTACCAATCAGAAATGATTGAAGTGCTGCATCTCACCCAGGAGCGTTATGTCCTGTAATGAGATTCTTCTCCCCGAGCGTCCCTCCCTAATCCCATGTCTCTATCTGTGCTTCGTGGACCTTCGGAAAAGCTGAGCCGAGCCGAACACGGACGTTCGACATGAAATTCAGTGTTAACCCTGCCATCCTGAATGCCAGCGAGACAATGGAGCTGAAATTGAATGGATGCTGTGCCTATTACTGAACATGTTAATCCTCTTAAGAAGTTAAAAGAGGTCTTGATGACATGCGGGAAGAGACAGGCGTGTGGAGCTCAGCGGAAACGAGCGAAGGCTGCTCAGAGAAATGAGGTTCATCCCAAACAATAGCGGGCCCAGATTGGCTCTTATAGTCATTAACCTGTGATTCTCTTTGGGGAAGTGATGGAAAAGACAATAACAAGGTGGGCCTGCTTTTACATCACTGATTAGCTTGTTCCGTCTCCAACAAACAAGCACGATGCATTTCACAAAACCAATCCTCTGCAGACTCTCCAGGTTATCCTCTACTCATCTGCAGCTTCCCACAATTTCTGCAGGTTCAGAACGTGCCAGGACGCTTCTGAAGAAGTTGTGATACCAGCTGCTTCTGGAGAGTTTAGAGACGCTGCCAGAATCATGCTACCTCATTTACCAGATTTTCCCCAGACCAGCATTTGGCTGACGCGTGATTCTGAGGCTCCACATTAAAGTGTCTTTTTAGCAGACTGTCTCCAGCGACATGGAGATTGTCTTCAGAGAGACGGTTAAGTAACTCGCTTTGATAAGGCTTCATGAAAGGGAGGGCGTGAGACGAGGAAGCATCAGCAGCGATACGGTCGATATTATAGCAGCGAGCAGCTCAGCATGTCAAAGGTCTGAGTGGTAAATTTGTCGAGTTGTGCTGTACTAGAAGCAGAAGCTAGAAACACACACCACTTGACTCACCTGTCTTTTCCCGTCTCCTTCTTGAAGACCATGTCACAGTAGTTCATCCTGTCCTCCGTGGTGACGTAGATGCGCGCATGGGGGTAGTTCTCCGCAGCCTGCCGCAGCATGTTGTACACGATGCCCTTCCCGTCCTTCCTCATGTTTCGCAGCGGCCCCCACACGACGTAGATCGTGTCGTTGCTCTGCCCGAAGAAGTACTGGGGCTTCTGCAGCAGCAGGGGGACGCTGGTGTGGGAGACGACCCTCAGCGTGGTTCGTCGGCCCACGTCGCGTTCGAACCCCCTGGACGGTGCGTTGTTCATCCGCCAGATGCAGGGTGAGCGATCGATCTGTGGGCCGGCGGCCTGGCCTAACATCTGGCCGGAGCTGGACACGATGCTGCAGAGCTCACAGTGCAGCTTCAGGGGCTGGAGGGGGGGGGAAGGAAAACAGGTCCATGAGCTGTGGCACAAAGGTGATGATTTTATTCTGTAGACACTGGTGGTAGGGTTGTACAGTCAGTGTTTATAATAGGTTGTATACTACCAGTTAATACAATGAAGAAATTATTTAGAACCTCCCTGCACACAAAACTACTGACCAACAGATCTCAAGCCTAAATTCTATACTGTGCATTTTTAAAAACCGGTAGACGTCACAAACAAAATAGTATTTACATTGTGTGAGTTACGGTCTTGATATTATGTTTAATACATCAAACTAATCATTGAGAAGCTAAAAATGTGGGAAAACAAAATAAAGACGAAAATATAGTTGAGAAGGCTAGTTATTAAAATTCACAGTGCATAACAACATTAATAACTAGCAGATGTCACAGAGTAAACTTAGGTGTTATTCAAACAACACCAGAAATATATACAGCAATAATACATTATGTAAAATAAAGTTTATCTGGTGAGGTAACTGTTGACTCCTAATTGAAAAAGAATCCAATTAGGTTTTAAAGCATGACTTAAAGTTTAACTTAATCAAACTTTAATCAACATATTCCTCATGTGAATGGTAACCTCTGAAAGCGGGTGTGTAAAATACTGCCTCTCATGTTTCTTATGGTGTCATACTTTGTGATCTGCTTTATAAGCGAGCAATGATATTAAAGTGAGGTTTTGGCACGCCAGTAGTGTGTCGGGACATAAAATAAAATGCATTTGGTAATTAGATATAAAAATATTCACTGGGGTTTTACAGCCCTACATAATTTTCTTTTATTTCCCAAGATTGATGCCACTGTGCTCAGAGCTAACATTGATTAGGTTAATTGAATACAGGACCTCAGAGTTACAACTCGGGCAACAATGCAGGGCAGAGAAGCAAGGAAGTTGCGTCATTTATCTTACTGTATTTTTTTCGGTGTGTATTTTTTATCACGCTCCAGTGGAGCGAGGCGATTTCTGCTGTTTCTTCAAAACCAGCTCTTCGCCCCAGTTTGCGAAGGGAAGAAAAAGGAGGGAGAAGAAGAAACCCTCCTCTGAATGTGAAATGAGAGATTTACCTAATTTGAGATAATATGCTTAGTTTGCTTTGATGAGATTAAATTTTCTTAAGTGAACGGAGAGTTAGAAAAGAGAACGCCTTGTGTCATGACTGTGTTCCGTTTGATCATTTGCTTAATGGAGAATATCTGTTATATCGTCTGTTTGAATACAAATTGCGTTTGTGTTGCCTTCTGGCCTAATGTTTGTGTTGAGAACGTGAAACTCTCCCTCACGTGTTCTGCGTTTAATCATCAACATGAGAATTATTATGTGCAAAACACGATCCCGCGAGACGAGTCAGTGAATTATATTACAACCACTCGGTTCTTCAGCACTGGTGTTGTTTTGCTCACAGAACACGCAGAGGCTCGGCTGCTAAAAAGGAAATGACACCAAAACTGTGGATTTTCTTTCTTGTCAGACATCAATTACTCTGACATGAGCTACCTGCCCCCCCCCCGTGAATGGATTCCATCACGGGTCAAGAAATGAACCCCGGACCTGAGCTGGTAGCTCTGCATTTACTGGGTGGTTGAGACACACATCACAGCAGCCTTGAGCTGTCAGCGGCTCGTCCATCATCGCCCGCTCCCCTCGGACCATCTCATAACTCCATCACGCCTCTCAGCACACACAGATTGGCTGGGCTCTGGTGGAAACGCTGGTTTGTCAGGGGAAGTCAGTGCCCCCGCTGGCTTCCCCCCTGGATCCACCCCTGCTCCTGAGCAAGGCATTTACCACACAACCGCTTCAGCAGAGCTGCTCAGTGACAATAAACATAAGACGAACACACAAGCTGCGTGAAGTTCCTGTTATTAAACAGATTCATTCAGAGATAAAAACAGGCGTCTGAATAGTTTAGAGTCCCAGCAATAAAAAACGACAGTGAACATTATTGGTTTCTCTTGAACACTAATCACGTTTACATGCGTAGAGGAAGTGTACAGAAGCCTATCTAATAATAAAACCCCTACTGAAGCATTTTTATTTAGTGTGTATCGCAGGACTGGAATCTAGCTGCCGACAAATCCATGAATATTACATCGTGTAAATCAATAAAATGTTATGGCCTCCCTCTCCACTCAACTGTGATTCACATTTCAGTTTCATATTCACGGCGGTGCTGTTTCAGTGTGCCGCACCGTAATCGCACACAGAGAGCACTTTTATAATCCCAATAAATTTGGCCCTCTCTGATAAGTACAAAATCTCCCAGCCTCAAATTTTAATTCACGAGTGTGTTAAAAATAAAGTAGGTTATTAAAAAAAAAAATGCTGGCTTAATTCCGGGGACATGGTCTTCATTAAATTATAGCGCTGGGATGTGAACTTAACCTTGACGTTCATTAAAATGCTCTAAACACGATTAATTAATAAGCAATAATTATTACATTAAAGTCCCAGTTTAAGATGCCTCCCTGGGAAAAAAAATTAAAAATTCATTGATTAGCTGTAGCTGTCAGTGCGGTGAAAATTGATTTACTCTAAACGCTCCTCCTGGGGCACATGAACACATTCTATTGCAAACAAGAAAAAATAAAGTTTATACCTGGAAAGTCATTTCAGAAAATGAAACAGCCACATGGCTCTCTGGTTGGTTATTTTATTAAATATCACAGAGATTAAATAGTGCAACCGAAATGACAGAAACCATTTGTGAGAAACTAACATGGAGGAAGCATGGTTTATGACCTATACTGCAGCCAGCCACCAGGGGGCAATCCAGATGTTTTGACTTTACTTATACCAACTTGTCTTGTCGTCCATCTTTATTTACAGCCTACGAACAAAACACTGGTCGATTAAATTGAATCTGCATGAATTTTAATTCACATCTATACTCGTGCAGTCAGTAACAAAACCATACATTTGATTTCCAGGTTGGTTTTGTGTTGTGATTCAGCCCCTCCATTAAAAGTGTTTTTGAATGTTGCGGGTCAGGAAGCTACAGGGATTTTCTGGTTCCACAGTTTAATGCTTTTGATCAGGCACTACAGAGGCTTCCATGCAACTGATTTACATATCATTACAGGCTTTACTGGCTGAGAGACTCCTCCAGTGTTAATGATGCAACCTGATATTGAAAATCATCGTTTGAAACTAGAAAGCTGCTAATTAGAGATTAAGGGGGGTTTAACAATTGATAATAATAATAATAATAATAATAGATGAACAGCTGATGCAACCTAATCCAGACCCAGAAGATTTCGCATTTAAATAATCCAAAAAATAGAATCACTTCCCCCTCATGTTATGTATTGTGTACATTTCAAAGGGCCTGTACATTTTCAGTAAATAAATGAAAATATTGAGTTTCTGTCTCAGACCAGAGGTATGAATGTAAAGTGCCACAAGACAAATGCTTCCTATTTCTCCTGAAAAGCCGAGCAGGAGCCATTTATCACATCTGGAGACAGACTCGATCAAAGGAGGAAAATAAGGCAGAGCATTTCCATGCTGCAGGGTTATGCATTATAAAAGCCCGCCCGAGGTTAATAACACCTCAAATGACGCCTCGCTATGTATCGGCTACGAATGCCTTACTGGCCAGCAGAGATATTAATGCTTCTTTTGCTGTTGCTGTGTATTTAACAGAGGCTGACAGCTCACACAGGATTTCACTCCCAGCGTAATCACTTACGACACCCGGCACACCAGTATCATCTCGACCAGACCTCCAAGATTCTGGCCTCTCTTTGTCAGACATCTCAGGAGTGCGGAGAACTCTTTTGACTCTCACGGTCAGACCAATCACTGCTCTTTCTGATTTGCTATAGAAAACTCCTGGGTTGGGTAATCTGAGCTGAAAAGAGCCCTAATTCTGCAGAAACCGTCTTGTTCTGTGATTTGCATAAATCGCCACGAGGAGAGGGCAGTGATTTACGCAGTCTCATCTGAAGGCAGAAGGAGGTGCACACGTACAGGCGGGTGTAAGACGTGATTGCCTCTGGGCCCGTGTTGTGCGAATGAAACTCTCCAAAGGCAGGGGGAATGACGCTCCCCATTAATCTGCCATATATAAGATATATGAAATATCATTCTATCCATCGCAACTTCAACTCCAGATGTATCGATACCGCGTCTGAAAGCACAGTCGTCATTCCCTGTCAGCGAAATATGTGATTTTCCTGCGTGACGACTCAGAATCCATCAATATGAGAGCAATTTCAGTTTTTCAGCTGCCTCCCTAAACAACAAATACACACAGCTTGGTTTTTACATTTTGATAAGGTGGGAATTAAAATGCTTTGATATTTCAATTTCCATAAACTGTGTGGGGAATATCCAGCACAGAGCTGTTGAAGGAATGATGAAGAATAGGATCATGGACTTGGGTGTTTGAAATTACAAAAACAATACGGTACACAAGAGACATCAGACAGGCCTTCTCAGATCCATCGAGCAAAATCTGATGAAATCCATTAAAAAACAATCCTCAAGGACATGGTGTGCTTTTGTTAAAGTGCATTTGAGTACAGCGTCCTTATCGTGGGGATGTTGCATGAGAGAAGGTCCCACTAAGCACAGAATAGTTCAGCCACTCCTTAAAAAAACTGGTCTTGAGCCGTATTACAAATACTTTTAGGCCAATTTCCAAGATTCCAAGATACAAGGTTCAGTTCTTCCTCCACTTCCTCTCTGTCTCTACACATGCTCATGAAGAATCTTCCAAAACTTTTGCTGCTATGCAGATGATACACTAGTCTCCATCTCAATCCTTCAAATCAGGGAACTCGATTACAAAACAGTTTCCAGGATATTAAAGACTGGTTGGCTCATAATTTCCTTCTGTTTAATGAGGATAAGACAGAGATCTTACTCGTTTCATATCATATCACTGTTTTTGCCCAGAATCTAAAGTCACCTTTCCGCCGCAGCTAATTTTAGTTTTGTTTTAAAGCCACATTCGTACAGAATGTCTCTCACCGTCTGTTTGGGGATGCTGACATAGCCCAGGTGAGGCTTGAAGGCCTTGTACGGCTGCTTGGAGAACATCCAGTGGCTGCTGAACGTCTGACCGAAAACAGGCTGCAGGAGGAAGTAAGGCTTCTCGGAGTAGTTCACCACGACCACAAAGAGCGACACCGCTACGATCAGGCTGGTGGCGATCAGCGACTTCCTCTGTGGAGGGAGAGAACAGCAGGAATAAGACAAGTCTGAGAAATGCATAGACATCATAAAATGAACCAGTGACCTCTAACAAATCTCTTTTCTTGTGTGTTAGTAGTTTAATAGCTCGAGGTGTAAACAAAAAGTAGAAGCTTTTCAGCCTTTTTCTGCCAGAAGCTACGTCTGACAAATACTGTGTGGCAGAATATTTAGTGCTTGATTACAACGATGAACTATACAAATATACTGTGTAACAGCCAATATACAACATAACAACCAGGCAAGAACAAGTAATGTGATTTTTGTTTTTTATTTTACACATAAAGGTTATGAGATACAATTGCTGATATACACAGTAATACACAGATTCCATATATTTGTTATCACACTTTGAAACACTGTGTTTATGGGACAGCTTCAAAATGCAGAAATGTGAGAAGCATAAAACTTGAAGAGAAATCTTGTCACAGTGCAGATAAACATCCTTAAAGTCCAGTGTGTAAGATTATTAAATATAAAAAACAATCCTTGTTGTTTTCCTCACCCTAGATTGGGCCCTCTATATTTAAATACTTTATATTCACATGTTTAAAAAAAGGGAGGGTGAGGTGAAGGGTATTCAGCTGCAACATGACACTTCACCACTAGATGTCACTAAATTCTACACACTGATCCTTTAACTTTCAATGTGAGTCAAATGCCATTTTCAGACATGACCTGCGGAGGATCCCTGGAGAACTGGGTCCAGACTCTCTCAGCAGTTTGCCTTTCACACATGCACAATGCATGTAGCATTGTGCATGTGTGGACTTTATATCCGGGGTCCGGGCGGTAAAGCGGTAAGGAGGCGTGGCTGACCTTCACGGTTCCAGATAACTTTTATCCCCTACCTTCCTATCATCATGACACCATTCATTTTGTCCAGTTGGCTATTTTGTGTTGTTTCTGATAAAAACGTTGCGAAGCAGCAAAGTGGACGTCTGGAGGTAAGACGTATAACAGCCTGACAGAAAGAGCTGAGTGATGAATAATGGATAAGAGACAGAGGACGAGGAAAGGTCTCACAGAGGAGAGGCTATTGGCAAGGCAGAGCTGGAGATCAATGCACAGAGGAGAGAGAATCAGACAGAGATGAAATCTTTGTTGTGCAACGACATCTCAGAGCCTGAGGTGATGATAGATTTCAGTGGAGTCCGTTTTTTTTTTTCTTCAGGAAACTTCAATAACGTGTTTCTAATCTGACGGAGAACACAGGTGGGAAACTCTGGGTTTTAGGGAAGGTGGTATTTGGAAGATTCTTTGAAGTTATCTGATGGTGAGGAGATTGAACGTGGCGTGACGTAATGGCGAAGCCCCCCCCCACAGCCAAAGTGCCCGCGCCATCACAGGCTCTGATCTCCAACATCAAACGTCTCCAGGGAACAGCTGGGGGCGTCGCTGCTCAGAGACAAGATCAAACATGTGGGGGGGTGGATGAAAAAGACGGCGACCATTTGCTGCCCTGACGGGCCGATCACATTTTACCAATTGCACGTACGTTGCATCACGCATCATTTCATGGCATTACTGGCCATCTTTGATCACAAACAGAGGGGTCTCCATTTTGATCCCGTGTGAAGCAGCACAGAGACAAATACCCTCTCTCCTTCGTGTCATTCCCCAAAAGTAAAGTCGGTCTGTTCTTCGTCGTTCAAAAAAACCCCAAAACAAATGGCATGAAACCAATTCCTCATGAAGCCCAATGGTTCTCTGGGACTGGAATAAAAAGGGAAACAAGCTGCAGCATCCATCTGTTCTCATGAGGACAGAAAATATTCTTGTCTCCTTCAACCTCAATCTGGCCACAAATCACGGGGGGGAAATGATGTGTCAAAGTCTGGAGGCAATCGGAGGGTTCTGTGTGGGCGTAGCCAGGCGCCGAACCTCCGCAGGCTCGTGTGTGAGACTCAAACTCCTCCGCTCGTTCGCTCATCCATCAGGGCGAACGCAAGTCGGCCCGCTGAGGCGTTTGACGGAGAGGTTGAAAAGCTCCATGTTGGGGAGGGAGTACAGTGGCGGAGTCGGGGAAATGAGGACCATTAACGGCAGAGAGGCAGCAGAGCAGTTATGAAGTTTTAACACCGGAGCTTTCGGTCAATGTTAAAACATTTTGCTTGAGGAATATGACTCAGCACGCGGCTGCAATGACCTTGTTTGTGACCATCAAATCAGACAGTGATGGCCATTAACTGCTCGACCACTTACGGTTGCAGCCGCGGGACGTTTCATTAAACAGACCCAGAGCTAAAATCTTTGAGGGGGCTATTTTTAAAGGTGCTAAAACCCTCTCAGAGCAGGTATTGATCTCAGCTCCCAGACAGACTGTGTGGGATTATTGGGACCTGGGACACGAGGGAGCCATAATTTTCTCTCCTGCCTGTGTGACCAGATTATATATCGGAGGTAAAAGAAGCAGAAATGCATTTGTGGCCGACTCGTCAATTTGTGGCTGTGACCCGATTAAATCGGGAAGAAACTGAGCAAAAGCAAGCGGTGGAAAACTTACAAAGTACATTTACTCAAAGAGTACATGAAGTTACTTTAAACTTTTATTCCTCTACAATTCAGAGGGATGCAGTGTATTGAAATATTGTTAAATTTCTGATGAATGTGTAAGTTTTTAACTGTGCAATAAAAAAACTCCCCCAGGCTGCTCGAAATTCAGAATCATCAGAAAATATACAAACTATAGACTGCAACCGATTCATATATCTGCTGACTACCCTCCTGACTTATAATGTACGACGCAGCGTCTTTGCTTCTTTTATTTTACTGCTATTTTTATTACTCCCTTTTTCTAGTTTAGAAGGAGTCTACTGTCATTTCTTCCTTGTTTATATTCCTTTAATGTTCTCTGTAAATTCAACAAAATGTAAGAAAAAAGTGACATAATTTATCTTCCTTACTTTGACTAAACATCATAAAACATTTTTGTAGAAAAAAATCACTTTTAGAAGCTGCAATAGAGAATTTATGGATAAAAAAAACAACTTTTGTTGATCAATTAATTGTCAAATACAGATCACATGACCTTAATGTCTAGTAACTTTGTATGTACTGTAAATAGTTTTTGATAATAATACGATTTACTAAATATCAGAGACTTTTGGTTGTAATTCTCACAGTATTTACTTGAACTCCAGTAAAGGGTGTAAATGCTTCCTCTAACAGCGTGTTTACTTCGAGCATATGGGATTTTTCTGCTTTGCTTTGGATAATCTGAAAATAACCGTTTAAACATCACTTTTCAAATCAATCACCGCAGCAATTTTCCTACTTAATGTACAGCAAATAGGCAATAAATTTGTAAATTACAGAATAATCAGCAAGTAGCGCTCCATTCATTTGTGAGATGAATGAAAAGGCAAAACAAATTAGCTGTTTATTTCCCCGTATATAATGTGCAATCAAAGTTTCACCTCCATCAGGCTTTATCTGGGCATGAAGAGAATACAATTTCCCACCAAGCCTGGCGCTGCAGCTCAGTGACAACGGGCCGCACTGTAGTTCAATCCAAAAAGCTAATCGTGATGGGTATTGGAATAATGAAAGGCTCAACCTGAAGAAAATGGCTCATGAAAAAATATATCTGCTATTTTCAAGCGTCTCCCGGGCAATGGGCAAATAAAAAATAAAAAAAAAGAAGGAAGATTACATTTGCAATGCAAAAGCGCTTCTTCCCTGGTACCTGATTCTTCCCACCACGGTCCACCGAGCAGTTAAAATCCAATTTCAATTAAGGCATTTGAGAAAATATTTACCAAGTCTTCTCTCTCCTCCTCCTCCTCCTCCTCCTCCTCTCTTTTTAAGCATTAGCCTCTCCAGGGCGCTGAGACAGCAGCATAAACACGTCGCTGCTCTCGAGATGGAGAGCGGGGTCCGGACACATCACTTCATTCATGTCACATTTCCAGAAAAGGTCTCACTTCAAAAGTCCAAGATAACAAACTCCTCTATTCCCGGGAAGAAGAAGAATCGACCCTGTGCTGCCGCTCACACGGTCATGCACAAGCTCCCCTTCGAATTTCACCCACAGGAGCTCTGAGCGCCACAAGAACTGTGGGAGAGAATTAATACAATTTGTAGATATTATTGAATTTAGATTAGGTTTATGACTATATGAATAATTCCATTCAGGAGCTATTTACACAAGTCTATTGGGTTTTTACTCATCACATGAGCACATATTTGTTTTCTTTCTATTTCAGTTGCCAGCGAAAGTAAATCATTTACTCCATTAAACATCAAAAAATAAGTTCAGTTAAAAGTGAAAATAAATCCTGCAAATCCCACTTTAGTTAAAGTAAATATCTGCAAGACGGATTCCTGGTGCAGATGGACAAAGACCTCAACGTCCAGGTTGTCCACTTCCGAGGTTTGTCCACATTGACTCCCAGATCCTTGTCGTTGTTGGACGTCACATCTCACCCTCAGACTCCTGGATGTTAATTAAAGAAAACATTTGTTCTCCTTGGTCTCGGCCATGTTGGTTCCAGGTGGTTCTTCCCACACAAGCAGCTCAGATCATCCCTGTGTTCTGGCTCAGCTGGGTGCTGCAACAGGTTCGGTAAAACAGAGCTCTCCTCACTTTCCTCCTTAGCTCCACTTGAACCCTCATGAGCTCCTCTGAAGACCATCTTCTTCTTCTTCTTCTTCGTCTTCTTCTTCTTCATCTTCATTAATACCAGCCTGTTTAAGTATGTTCCTGAAACGTGTCTGCATCTTGAAACAGTAGAATTAAGATATAAAGCAGAATAGAAGGACAATGCTTAACTGGGAGTATCTCAGAAATGAGCAATTTCACAAATGCACAGAAGAGTCCGAGTAGAAACATGAAGAATTCACTGAGGCATGAGGGACAGACGCTGGAGCTGCAGCGGCAAAGTTCATTTCTCATCTGGGACGTGTGCACCCTGCTGGTCCCTATCGAGCCCAGCAGAGGGGGCAGTCCCCTCACACAGCTGTCGTGTGGC